ATCACAATCTTAATAATACTTCATTTCTACTAGATCTCATGTCTGTATGTGCAAACTGTGTGAAGAACAACAGTATATTCCATTTGAGATGGCTGTTCGCATTGATCAATGTCCGAAAATTTAATATCTGCCGAGTGTGTATATGCCGACGTTCTTTAGCGCTGCCATCGGAACGATTCTCCGATTTATCGCACTTTCTCGTGCTGTTGACATGCGGTATGCAAAACCACCTGGCGCAGGTCATCCAAGTTCTTTCTCGAACTGTGCTGGATAATTGCAAGCTCCGTCCCTCTAGTCAAGGTACTCGATTACTTCTTGGCAGCAATGACACTGTCGTCCTAATCCATTGCATGGATCTTCACATGGGGCGTATTACTCGGAGTGGTATTTATGACCAGGTGCGTAGTATGTGATTTGCCTCAGACACACAATTTACCCGTAACTTCCGCAGTCAGCTCGACCTTAACATGCGCCTCTCTTTCGACCATCTTTGTGTGGGTGTTGTATATCGTTGCGTGAGTTTGCCATCCCCCAGGGAAATTTCTCATTGAGAGATTTAGACTACCCCTCTCATTGACTAGACGTTGTACTGCGTCGAGACCAGTGGCGTCTTGGCTGGTCGGCACCCTGGACCCCCTCCCCTGTACACGCCTCCTCCTGCTTCGGTTTACTATAAATGTGTTATGATTAAGTAGTATGAACATACTATCAATTCATGATCGACAAGGCTTACAATGTACCACGTAGTACACTTACATCTAGTGTTTCTTACGCGAGTTTCTTTTGTCTAGATTCGTTATCTAGATGTTTCTATACACAGCAACAGATCAGTTTACTCTCACAATCTCGTAACAGTGTGCACTGTACTCTCTCTTCATGCCATCCTCTATTTAGAGATTATACTAGTTTTGTATACGTTGATGCGACGTGGCACAGGTATAATTTACATGAGTATAAATGATGCACTTTAACTTTCGATATCGAATTCATTCCACATCGGATTCCTCGTTTATGTATATCAGATTTCTATATTTAAAAGGTTTGATTCAATCCTCAGCTTCAGAATCTCATAATTTAGGCATTAAGCAATGAGCATACTTATGTTTCCACACTCTGATTCCTCCTGTGTAACTGGAAAGTTTTCGATCACTAGTTCTCATTCCAGCATCATCTAGACCTTTCCACCTGCATTTGTTTTGCTTAATTCGGCGTGCTATTTCTGAATTGGATGTGTGGACGCACATTTCGAGATCTCTCAGCTGGCAGGCTGCTCCTGGTTCTATTAACTAACCCATATTCTTATGTACTGCTAATCGTTTGTGAGTTCAACATCGCTGCTTGGGTATGTGTGAATATTCGTAGTACCGATAATCCAATAATCAAGGGTCCTGATCATACAACCCCTTTTAGACTCCTGGCCTGTCATTGATACAATTCTATGGTGAGTGACCTTTGACTCTCTTAAAGTCGATTCCTATTACGATAAAATTTAATGATCTTAGGCACTTTCTCTTGCGGCGCTTACATAGCGCGGCATCTATTATCCCTATATCGATATAGGAGGAATTGACTTATTGAGAAGTCTACGAGTTCTGGTAGTTCAGCAGGAGGGGCAGGTGGGCCCAGCGCAGGCAGCCAACAGCCAGCGGTAATAGTGTAGGCTCACACAGCGGCATGGTGTGTGACGAGTATGTATTGTTGTTGTATATAATATAATCTATGCTATATTTATCCAAAAGGCAATTTTAAGTATACTTAATAGTACAATGAAAAGCTGGTCCAGGTATCAGAATTAGGTATTAACCCGAATCCCCAACGCCAAGACCGTCGCCCTGTGATCGATCCGTTTGGTTACGTCGATCACATCCAGCAGAAGATCAAAACAACGAGGATGGAGGTGACGGAGCGCGAGATCGCCAAGACGATGAACGACAAACAGAAAACGGAGGAGAGAAGGTGAGTGACATTATCAGTAGAGAGTAAGTGACATTGTCAGTAGCCTTAATTGCAGTGATAGACTATAAAACATACACGATGGTGACGATAGAGTAAGTGACATTGTCAAGTCTAGTCTTGCAGTGATATGGACTATAAAACATACAAGATGGTGAGAGAGAGTAAGTTGACATTGTCAGTAGGTCTTGCAGTGATAGACTAATAGACAAACAAGTGGTGAAGATGAGTAAGTGACGATTTTCAGTAGCCTTGCAGTGATAGGACTATTAACAAACATACAGATGGTGAAGAGAGAGTAAGTGACATTGTCAGTAGCTTTGCAGTTGATAGACTTATAAAACACAGATGCGTGAGATGAGAGTAAGTGACATTGTTGAGTAGTCTTGCCCAATAATATAGACTAATAGACAAAACAAGATGGTGAAGAGAGCAGTCAAGTAGACATTGTCAGTTTAGCTTGGCAGTGATTAGACTATAAAACAAACAAGATGGTGAAGAGAGAGTAAGCTGACATTTGTTAAGTAGTCTTGCAATGATAGACTAATAGACAAACAAGATGGTGAAGAGAGAGTAAGTGACATTGTCAGTAGTCTTGCAGTGATAGACTAATAGACAAACAAGATGGTGAAGAGAGAGTAAGTGACATTGTCAGTAGCCTTGCAGTGATAGACTATAAAACAAACAAGATGGTGAAGAGAGAGTAAGTGACATTGTTAGTAGTCTTGGCCCAGTGAGTGATAGACTAATAGCCAAACAGGATGGTGAATTATAGAGTAGTGACTTGTCAGTAGCCTTGCAATGATAGACTAATAGACAAACAACGATGCGTGAAGAGAGAGTAATGTTGACCATTTGTCGCAGCCTTGCAGTGATAGGACTAATAGACAAACAGGATGGTGAAGAGAGAGTAAGTGACATTGTCAGTAGTCTTGCCAGTGATAGACTTAATAGACAAACAGGATGGTGACGATAGAGTAAGTGACATTGTCAGTAGCCTTGCAATGATAGACTATAATAAACAAACAGAAGATGAAAAAGAGGGAGTAAGTGAGAGCAGCTAATTTGTAGTGACGCGGCACCACTTTCTACAAAGCTATGTGCATACGTACATTCACTAGTTTTCACTCTCATTAAATTTCCGCTAATTAGTCTATGATTGTGCGAGGGTTATAATCATAGATGAAATCTATTGAGGTCCAGGCGCCACTGCAATCACAGCCAGTGTTCATTGGTACCTGCGAGGCAATTATGACTAATTAGGTTTGTTCGACGAGTATTTGCTTTGCCCTCAAGCTGAAGGTGAGATCAATAACTACGTACCACAGAGTGACAAGCTATATATATATATATATACTGCGCGCACGCTGATATTTCCTACGGCCACCTGCTGGTGCTTCATTAAACGCCGTGAGGTATGTGTTCAAAATTCCTTGCCACAGGGGTATGGATCGAAACATGCTACTGGTTGGGTTGTGAGTATCATTAGTTCATTATAGGGTCGGCGAGATTTATTTTCCTAGAAGTAGGCTAAGATGAGTGAGTTTATTATATAGTTTATCTCCGTCATTTACCCAGAGCTGAAAAATGTGAGAAATCACGCAATTAAGTATTTTACGTGCTGTATGGCAAAGTGTGCGCTCGTTAGAAGTGAGACTGACTTTCAATATTGAATCCAAGGTAATCGCTAAACCGTTCAATGATCACCCAACTTTTAATACTAGCCTCTTGCGCATTCGTTTGTCATTTCCATTAGTCGAGACATTCGTGATGCATTTCCTGCTCGATTCGTCTGGTGATTAAAGGTAGCTTCCCTCGAACTTTCCACGTAAATTTTTGTAACAAACCACTGTGAAAACGTAAGTAAATAACTCACTACACTTTAACTGAACGTTAGCTTTGAAAATAAAACTGTAAAAATATGTATCAAGCCTATATTTGCTCATCGAAGAAACAACTCGAAAAACGCTTTTCGCCGTGGTTCCGTATTGTTTATATTTGAGCAACCATAATTTCAATCGAGTCAATGTAGCCACTTTCAGATGCCATAACTTTTAATATAAATCATTTTATGAAATAAAACTTTGTAGTCTAGATGAGAAGCGCCTCGACTGTTTATGTTATTAATTTCCGAATTTTTACCGTAACCGTTTTCGAGATAGAACGTGCTAAAACCCCAACAAAACGTAATCCGAACTAACATTGAATTCCGCTTGAAAGTTCGAGGGAAGCCATACCTTAAGCTTCACATGAATCCCCCCGCGTAAACCTGACGTTCACTTGTTCGTCGCAGCATCCAGCGACAGCAGCTGGAGAGGATATTCGAACTGATGGCGGAGCAGTCGGAGAAATTTGGATCGCCGAGTAAAGTGGATGTCGATGAACAGATGAAGCTTTATCGCTCCTAGACGCATCGCCTCACTAGCAGCGAAGTCGACAACGGATCTGACACGGCCTGGCTCGCTCTTAATGCAGTCTACACAGCCTGGCTCACTCTTAATGCAGTCTACATAGCCTGGCTCACTCTTAATGCAGTCTACACAGGCTGGCTCACTCTTAATGCAGTCTACACAGCCTGGCTCACTCTTAATGCAGTCTACACAGCCTGACTCACTCTTAATGCAGTCTACACAACCTGGCTCACTCTTAATGCAGTCTACACAGCCTGGTTCACTCTTAATGCAGTCTACACAGCCTGGCTCACTCTTAATGCAGTCTACACAGCCTGGTTCACTCTTAATGCAGTCTACACAGCCTGGCTCACTCTTAATGCAGTCTACACAGCCTGGTTCACTCTTAATGCAGTCTACACAGCCTGGCTCACTCTTAATGCAGTCTACACAGCTGGCCTCACTCTTAGCACGTACACTACAGCCTGGCTCACTCTTTGCAGTCTACACCGCCTGGCTCACTCTATAATGACAGTCTCCTGTATCCTTGGTGACTGTTGCTCTACAATTATGTCCGTTGGGCTGCGCGCTCTACTATATTCCTGTGGTGTCTGTGGCTCTCTACATATTCCTTGGTGGCTGTGCGCTCTACATATTCCTTGCGTGAGCTGTGGCTCCTACTATAATTCTTGAGTGCAGCTTGGCTCTTACTAATTCCTTGCGTGGGCTTGGCCTCTACTATATTCCTTGAGTGAGCCTGTGGCTCATATTCCTTGACGTGTAGCTGTGGCCTCTACTATTTCCTTTGCTGCGATGTGGCTCTACTATATTCCTTGTGTGGCTGGTGCGCATCTATATTTCTTGGTGGGCTGTGGCTCTGTATTCCTTGGTGAGCTGTGGCTCTATATTCCTTGTTGGGCTGTGGCTCTGTATCTCTACTTATATCCTGGTGGCTGTGGCTCTGTATTTCCTTGGTGGGCTGTGGCTCTGTATTCCTTGGTGGTGTGCTCTCTGCTATTCCTCTGCGTGGCGCCTTTGCTGGCCTCTGTATTCCTTGGCTGAGCTGTGGCTCTATATTTCTATGGTGGGCTGTGCGCTCTGTATTTCTTGGTGGGCTGTGGGCTTCTACTATATCTCTGGCGCCAGCTACACGAGTAGCTATACGTGTATTTACTGCCACCATGGTTGTCACCATCGTACCACTGTATTGTCAATCAGTTTATATACTGAATCAGTTTGCAAGCTCTATGAACATGAGAAATAGGCTTCACTGTTTGTAATTTATATCGGCTGCCACTACGCCTCATCATCATATGTTTATCAGGTTGGAAGAGAGCATTGTGTGACAGCGTGTGCAGGTGTGTGCGATAGAGATTGAGGGAAGGAGGGAGGATGGAAGGGGGATAGATCTATAGAAAGAGAGAGAGAGAGAGAGAGAGAGAGAGAGAGAGAAGAGGAGAGAGAGAGAGTGAGAGAGAGAGCGAGAGAAAGCAAGAGAGAGAGAGCGAGATGTATCGCAAATACTGATTAGTCCCTAGGCGCCTAATCTATTTATACAGGTGCACAATCCATGGTCTAATAGGCGGTCATTGTGTCCCCTAGTTATCCCACACTACTACTGAACCTGAGCATGTCTGAAGACCGTCAAGCTCCGAGCAGTTCCACAATATTTATATATTGATCAGCAGCACAGCTAGGTAAAATCGGGTCTGTACGTACCTGTACTGTGGCGGTAGATAACCAACTGCGTGTTAGAAGGGTTGTTTACTGTACGCGATCCATATCCGAGCTTTGCACTGGGTAGTACATATCATCAGGAGTGAATGAGAGATGTCCATGATCATCTATTATTATTCACTCCTGATATTCTAAGTCCTAAATGTGATGTTGTACTTTTAATACAATCATGAGTAAGTGAAGATCAGGCAGTAGATGACTGTCATGAACACGTAATCACATGCAGGGGCGTAGCCAGCCTTTCCAAGAGGGTGGGGGGGGATTCCTTCCAGAGGGGGGATTCCAAACCTACTATATACTAATAAAACTTCGTTAAAATTTTCGTTTCATGCTTTTATATACATACTGTATCAGATATGTGCCTATTTTGATACATACCCAGGGGATCCGGAATGCTGCCGAATCACCCCTGGCTACGCCCCTGACATGACAAGTTTTAAATGTTGTGCATCCCTGTGTGTTCAATGGATAATTTCACCTTCATGAAATTGCTAAGAGGCAAGTGCCATTGGTGCAATAAGTTGTATAGTATCGGTGTATCATATATAATTATTCTTGTATCATGTACCTCGTTTTCACCATACGTTTCAATGTAATTATTGTGTTATCGTCGTTGAGATTTTAATGTCGCACTAATCTTAGATATGATATCAGATCTAAGACATTACTGATCCGCATGTCAGTATGTGAGGAGTATACTTAACCCTACTATTAGATATTCACACACACAAGAACCATTGACATCTCTGTTAAATGTGGTCAGTGGCATAAAACTGTTTAGTTGTACAATAAATGTGTAATCATCATCATTATTATTATACATAACTGTTGTTATATTTTGTTTGCTCACGTCTAGTCCAGGTTTCTCAATCACAGTCACTTTACATGAGTTGTATGTGGTAGTCTTTATCATTTCTAACAATCACACTGAAAACCTGTTAGGTAGAGACATTAGTATACATAGAAATTCTATATTTACGTGCATTCGCACATATACACATGTATACACGCACCATATGTGAACGTGAACTACGCCTACTGCAGTCAAACGTACAAAACTATATCTTACAAAATTAATATACAATCATGGGGAGTCCTAATATAAGTTTGCAACCTGCTTCCCACCAATGTTCCATCCGGGACGATGGTTTTCCTGCTGCTGCACTCCATAAATCCCCACATAATAGCCAATCTAAAGTTTTACACGTTACGCAAAGATGGTCGTTTGTTTGTTAAAGAGGTCAAGGGTCAGGCTGCTCAGGAAGGCTGGTATGCTGTTAGATTGCTTCAGATAGGTGTCCATCAGTTCCTTCACAGTCGTAGTTTTCATATACTCAGATTCCAGCAGCTGAAGACCTTCCTTGTTTTGCTGGAACAGAGCAATTAATACGGTAAAACTTGTGTTAGTACTTAGTAGTCATCTCTATACAGTTAAACCTCGATTATCCGAACGAGAAGGGCGGCGAGTATTTTGTTCGGATAACTGATTTTTCGGATATCGGGTGGTCTAGTGGCTTATTAAATATTCACGGGACCTTGAATCTTGTTCAGATAATCCGAAATTCGGATATAAACAGAGGTTTTATATAATGAACATCTTTTTATAAAGGACACTTTGGCATTTCACCTCAGTGGCTATTCCATAATAAAACCACCGCTATAGAACAAGCAACTGTTAATAAAGGAACCTCTCGTGTTTACCTCGAGTGGCAGTTAAAATCGCCATTATAGGGTGGACGCCTGTCTATAAACAACACTTCAGGTCTGTTCAGAGTGACAGTTATACAGTG